AGGCTTCACCAGAGACAGAGTGGGGAGCAGAACAGGCAGATCGACGAAGCACACTGCTGAGGGGAGCAGCGGGCGGGTCAGGAGAGGTCTGCCGCACCCTGTGGTCACCTCCGGGGCAGGCAGGGATCGAACTCATGCGGAGGTGGCTTAAGCTTCTTAGTGCTGTGCTTTAACCCTCTGTGCCACCAGGGAGGGCCCCATCTGAGGTCATTTTATGGTAAAGGTGAAACTTCATAATTGGAGTTGAAAGTGAAGACCTGAGCTGCAACCGCACGGTAGATGTATTTGGTTTGAGCTGCACAATGTTTTCTCAGAAAAAAATAAAGCGTTCCAAGTCCATATTCTAATTCATTCGATATCAAGTAAAATTAAGAGTTCTGGCCTGACCTAAAAAGCCAGGAGCTCAGGCAGTCCTGGGCCTCTGCTCCCAGCGGGCAACTCCGGCCAGGGACCAGCTGGCTTTTACAGCTTGGACATTTGCTTTCCAGGTCACCGGCCTCAGCCCCGGCACAAGAGCAGACCTGTGTGTCTAAACCCGGCTGCCTGACTCCCTTTTTGCCAGCCTGGTTCCTCTGCGCATGTAATCAGCCCTCTGTGAAGGATACTCAGGGCACAGCTCCCCCTCACCCTGAGCTACGCCCGCTGCTCCTGCTGGCTGCCCTGGCCCGAGCCCTGGTCTGACAGAGGCTGCCATCACGAGGGTGCAGTGTGCTCCGGACCTGGCGGTCAGTAAGCGCGAGCTGGGGAACGGCTCGTTCCACAGCTGTGAGCTACAGGTGGTGCTGCCAAGCGGACTGACAGTGGCCGTGTCGGACCCCTTCTTGGACACGGAGACGGGTTGAACCAAGATCCCAACCCACCTTGGTTTGAATGTCCCTTCCAGGCCAGTGGAGCTTGAGGTAACTGCTCTTCGGGGGTCACAACGTCCCCTGCCTGAGGAACGCAGCTGACAGATGTGGAGGGGGCCATGTGGCTGGCCAGTCACGCTGAACACCTGTCCTGCTGTTCTGTGCCCCACCCCCACAGAACTAAACCTCTGGTGGCAGCCTCCTCCATGTCCCGGCCACGGGAGACAATGGCTTCTGGGACATTTTTTAAACAGCTAGTGGCTCTAACTAATTTCTTCTTTCTAATTGCTTTCCAAATGCCCCCAATGCACACAGGCTGCCTCTGTCTTGCTCAATTAAAAAGTAACCTTACATGCTTTTCAGGGATATAAACTAGTTTCTCCCATGCCCTGGGACTCTGGTATCCAAGAAAGCGGAAAGCTTCTCCAAGAAAAGTTGGTGTTTCCTGCAACTCCCTCACCTCCGAAGCCCTATTCTCTGTGGCAGTGGACTGACCCTTCTTCTGGAGTTCGGGTCCTTGAGATCAGCGTCCCTGCTCAGTCAGCAACACCAGGTGCTGCAGACAGGTGGAAGACAGCAGCGAGGTCAGCCAGGTCAACGCTCTGTGAGGTGAGCTGAGGGACCGAGGCAAGGGCAGAGAGTGGACACCAGTAGCCTCAGGACAGGCTTCATCAAACATTTTGGATGATGTTTTCTTCTTGGGGGGGGGGGCATTTAAGACGCCCTCCATGTGAGTGCATCTGTGAGAGCTGAAGACACGCTTCACTATGCTACCTAGAGCCTTCCATAGAGATCCTGGCAATTAAGTTCCCGTGGGGATTCTCTGCCAGGAAAATCTCCATCTTTCCAGACAGATTTCGTTGTTTTTGCTTACATGTCACTAGAGTTATGTAATCACACCTGTTTGTTTTCCTGCCAGGAAGCTCAGCACTAAATGACTGCTCATTCTGCGTGTCTGGGAATAAGCACCACCTTCCTCTCACCTATCACTGTCCAGTTTTCATTTGTGGTTGCTGATGAGGCTCTGTCAGATCACTGAGGTGAATTTGTTATTTTTCTTCAAGTCTGGTTTTGGACAAAGGGAGACCACACTACAGGTCAGGTCAGACCGGCACACATGGCACAATACCACAGGTGCCGCCACTGACCCAGAGCAGGACCCCAGAGCCGCTTCCAGTTAGCCCGCGCGTCTTATTTCTAGACACGTCACGTTGTTCCTACAGATCTTCAACAATCTGTTTTTCACTGAAAGGAACCGAGTATTTGCGGCACTGACATTTCTCACCCATACTAATACCGCGCCTGCGGTGGGCGGACCTGCTGTCTGGGAAGCAAGCAAGCACCACTCGTGGTAGCTCAGGAAGCTCGCTGTTTTAAATGGCTGGTACATCTGGTGCGTTCATTATGATCTCAGCCTAAGAGGTGCTTCAGCCCTCAGTGAAATGGAAATGTTGCCATTGTCTTTTGTTTGGATTCTCTGAACTTCTAAGATCTTGCAGGCGCCACCTGAGCTGACTTGAACCTCTATCCCGGCATTAGCGGGGCAGCTGTGTGGGGCTCACGGGAGCTGGTGCTGCCTCGGGTGGGGCGAACCCAGCGCTGGGGAGAGTCAATGCTAAACTGCAAGCACAGTTTCCAAAACAACAGGCTTCAAAATAAAATGCGTTTTGATCTACTTTTTATATGCGAATGAGTATCATGTCTTGTTGTATTTTTAGCCAAAGACATCACAGTCTTGAAAAGACAGGGGTGGAATAGAAAGAAATTCATCTAATTCAAGAAGTGCCATGAACAATAAAAGAAATCAAGCAATTGTCCCTAGCAGGAGACAGAGTGTTGAATTGTTAAATACCCTCTCCTCCCCTCCCCCTTTTCTCGTGGAAGAAAAGGAACAGAGAGCAAGAATTAATAATGAGCAACACTTGCACGTAACCAGCAGTTTTTAACAAGCCCTTTCAATGTGCCCTGTCAACTCTGTTTTACAGAGAAGGAGAAACATGAATTTCTAAAATGATTTGGTCGTCGTCAACGGAGGCTATGCCTGTCTCAAATGCTCTCTTCAAAATGCTTCCAAAATAGTCTACCTTTTGATAGTCACCTTCCACATGACAAGTTTAAACACTGAAGCCAAAAAGCAGGACTCTGTTCTACCCTCCTTCAAGACTGAACAGGATT